GCCGACGTGAGAGTAAGGATGTAGGGTAATACCGCTGGGGAGATGGTAGACAGTAATGCGGACACCAGGTAATGTTCTACTAGATGCCAAAGGCGAAACTCGGCGGGATTTGAAGCGATCGTCGACGGAGAGGGTCGAGAGATGGTGCCTGTGAGATGGCCTTCGTAGCCATTCGCAGTAAACAGTTGAAGAACTTGAAGTCGCCATATAGGATAGTTTTCGTTGGTAAGCTGGTTCTGAATGATGAGCTTGAGGTTTGACATGAGAAACTTGAGAGTCGGCGGGATTTGAACTTCAGCTGTCACCATTGAAGTTGGCGGATCTGCGCCTGAAGTCTGAAGGGAGGTCGGTTGAGTAACTGATGTAGATTCTTGATCTACCATTGTGAAGAGAAAGGCGGATCACCGAGACTGTTCTGATACCATGAGAGAACCTGCAAAAGGTTAGAGAGAAACCAGAGAGAAAACTGAGAGAAAAGCTTAGAGATGAATAGTGTAAAGCATTGGCTCTTTTTTTCATTGCTGTTACATCCAGATTACATCGGTATAAATAGAATAGACTTTGTCTGCTAGACAAGTGGAGCAGACCGGTGGCAGAGCCGTTGGTTGCCAGGGATGCAGAGTAGTGGAAAAGGTATACTAGCTTATGTGGCTAGTAAATACTTGAGTGGTCTAACACATATGACTCTAATTTCGTTACTAAAAAACAATCTTCATTGCCATCCATTCAAATTTTATGATCAATAAATTTTTAAATAATTATAATTACTTTATAATATCTTAATACAAAATATATTAAAATAAATTTAAATTTATTTTAAAAATAACGCATCTAACATTCTCTCGTTCTGTATGTATAATCAATTTAAAATAAATTTAATGATTTTTAAGTTGATTTTAACATGAATTATATTAGATTATTTTAATATAATTTTTTTTGCCCTTTTCACATATAGGCTAGAGCTTTTTTACCATTAAAATATTTATAATTATGAAAGATTTGTGGCAAAGTAGTTAGGAAAGAAAGTTTTTTTTTTTCTTGAAAGGGAATTCAAATATATTAAGTATTACTATTTTAATAAAAAGTAGGGATTTGCATATATAATACTCAAAGTTTTTATAATCGATATGTTTAACACTGAAATTTTAAGTATTTACTTTGAGATATCACTATGTTATTGGAGCTAATCAAAATCATTTTGATTTTACCAGACACAAGGAAATTATTACGAGATCTCGCCTTAGTAGCTCCCCGATGAAGGTATCTACTAGAACACTGCTGTTATGTGAAGGAAAAGTTGTGATGTGAGCTTATTGTTAAAGGCATCAATGGGGCCATGACGCCTGAAGGAGAATAAAAGTTGTTAATAGTGCTGGTGAAAGATCAATAGTGGATCTCACAATAGAAGCTAATGAGATAGTTGTCGAAGATATTGATGAGCTCAATGGCATGTGAAAGAGAAGTCATAATAGGAACTTGTTAACGAATACATCAATGAGCATGGGCGGGGCAAAGGGTTTTTTTTTTTCACGGGGGCGCAAATCTTTGAACTAAAAACAAAAAAAATCTCAACTTTTTTCATTCAGGGTTGAAATTGACATTGATGCTTTAAAAAAATTATTAATCGTTAGATTCATTATATAAAGATAAAATATATTATAAAGAAAAAAAAAACATATATTATCTATAATTTCTCCAGCCGAATATTCATTTTTTCAAATTGTTGAACAATTAATTTATTGTCAATACTATTAAATATATCATTTTCAATATAAGTAAACAATAATTAATTCAAGAGTCTCTCATACGATTACGTAAACATTCTTTAAAATATTTATTACAGAAAATGCTCATTCAACTGTTGCTGTAGTAATTGACAATATCAAAGCAAGCTTGATAAATAAGAATATCAAATGATAAATATCATTATTCATAGTCTCAACTATTTTTTGAGCAAGTTCTCCAAGTCTTTTTAAATTCATAAATGCATCATTCGATCTTATATCAACAATAACATTTTCAATTTGGTTGTCTAGTATGATGATATTCATTTCTAAAAAATCTAACGAATAAAATTTTGCTTTATTAAAAGCTGAAAATGACTAATATAAATTCAAACATATCACACACATAAATAATTATGTATTACTTTCATCAAGATGCTTGAAGTTACATATTTATAATAGTGTAAAAAATTTCGATTTGATAATGATGTCTATTTATTATATTTTCATTATAGCCTTCCTCACATCACAAATGTATGAGTTATGTTTGGAATATATATGATATTCTTATCACAAAATAATTCAAGTTCTTTAAACAAAATGTTCGACCCATTATTTCTCATATTTTGAAGCATTTATTTAAAAACTTTTACCAAAGTCATGACATTAATAATGTCTTGATCCCTTCTTTGCGGTACTTATGATAATTCATTTATAACTCCTAATATAATATTCATCATATGCAAATTGAAAATACATTTAAAATTTTTTACAGATTCAAGTAGGGAATATTCATCACCTTTTTACTCACTACTTGATCCCTCAAGTATCACTATCTCAAGAATCTCTATTATAGTGAATTCTAGTGGGAACCCCATGAGTGTTTCCTCATCTTTGATGTGCAATTTCTTGATTTAAATCTCGACCTTTAATAACTCCTCCACTTTCCAGTTGTTCAATAGTTTTCTCATAATATTTTACTCATAATATATCTCTTTTTTGTATGAACTACTAGCAATATTAAGAAAGAAAGTAACTTGGACATGGTTTTTTGTAACTGCAACTAATGCTAGTTGGAGTTGTTGATCAAAATAATGTATATAATAAGACGAATAGTTTTCTTTCATGATCAATATTTTTAGTCCATTAAACTTGCCTTGTATGTTGCTTACTCCATCATAACCTTTGTCTATGCAATTGTGTCAACCCAACTTCGTAAAAGGTACTTCAATAGTCATTTTTAGAGTTGGAGCTATTATGTCTCCTACATAAATAATATCAATAAAATGCTCAATAACACATCCTAATATATCAATATAACATAACACAACAAAAACTCATTCTTTAATTGATATATCCAGAGATTTATCATGTAAAATTATGAATACATCATTTTTTAATTCATCGATTATAACATTTGAAACCTCAATTGCAACAACTTATGTAATTACTTTCTAGATTTTTGAAAATATTATTTTATTATTTTGAGGAGCATTATCCAAAATAGTTTTACTTATGTCTTCATTGTGGTTAACAAGAAAGGGCACACGTTTAAGAAATTCCCTTGATTCTCATAATCCTCTAATATATCATGCCCAAGGAATTTCTAATCCTTGTTGTAAAAGGAAACATACACAATTAACACTTGTATTTAATAGTGTATGATAATATTTGTGATTTTAATCAAAAGGTCTTTCAAAAGCTAATGTGATAACTCTATCTTAATTCATTAAATTTGCACATTTTCCTCTAGCAATATTATGTGTATTATTTATATTACCAACATAAATATGAAATCTATCTTTTTTTTTTCTAATTTAAAAAATGTTTTGTATTAAAACCGTCATCGCTAGCCTGTTCTTCAACCAGAGGTCTATATAGATAACAAAATAAACAATAAACTGCATCCTTGATTATACTACATTCTAACCAAGCTTTATGATCATCAAATAATGCAAGATTAAATCTATGAAATTTATCTCCAATTTGTGTATGCAGGAATTCATAATCACGAAGTTGACACAGTCCTTTCAGCAAGTAATGTCTCCAAACACTATCTCTCTCGTTAGAATGATAATCCAATTTTTTTTTCTCAATTTAGGATTGACAGGGAAATCATCAAAATTTGTTTATACACAATTTTGTTTATTTTGTGTATTGATTCCTCACATAAAATTTTTTAAGCATCTCCTTAATACCTTCTCATTTCTAATTTGAATGAAACCAACATAAACAATTTGATCAAAAGATATATAACATATATGAGACATATTATTATTATTTCAAAAGATATTTTGGAATCAACTGCTTTTAAAAGTTAAGTATGAACCCTATTCACTATAAGAACAAAGATTCATAAGGGACTTGTAATGGAATTATATTAACAAAGACGGGCTTGTAATGGAATTATATTAACAAAGACTCAATCTAATCAAAATATTCATCATTCATATTTGGAGTCAATAGTTTAGAAATAATGCATAAATAATTATTAAAAGTCAACTTTATATCTTGTTTCTGATATGAAACTCAAACAAAGAACAGGAGAGTTAAAGAGAAGCGTACTATCCAATTAACAGTGAAAACATGTACTACCAACAGTAAAAAAAAATCCAGAAATGACTACAAAATAGAGAAATAGAGAGAAGTTATCAATTTATCATAGCCCCTAACCTAGAAAGAAATGCTTCAATTTGATTAGAGAAAAGTTTGGGTATCTAAACGAATCATCACAAATTCAACGAATCACAAAAAAAAAAAAAAAAAAAATCAAAAGTTAGAAATACAGAACATTGCAAACAACTACTATTAAAATACCACCATCTTTTCTTAGAATTAATAGTCAATAGAGAGTAAGGAGTCAAGTTGGCCACTTTTGGGTGAGGATAGACTTAAATTGTATTTTAAGAGTTGTAAAAATCCTAAACATTAACATATTCTTAAGTTTAAAAAAATTGAGGGTGGGCACTTTAGTTCCCTCCCTAGTCTTGGAAGAGATGGATGCATGTAAAGCGTGACGAAAAGATCTCAATACCATGCAAAAGGAAATAAGATAGTCATCTACATGAAATACAATGGAGGGTGTGAGCTTGGATGTAATTTCTATTATTACCAAAATATTTGAGTGTTATGCAAAAAAAAAAAATTGAGTTTAATTATTAAATATATAAATTATATAATTTTGAGCATCATATGTATAAATCCCAAAATTAATAAATAAAATTACAAATACCACCTTTTTTTGTCTCGTCTTTTTCACGACCCCCACTTCCGAATATGTCACTAATAGTTTTTTCATTATTCTCTCGCCGCCGATGCGCGCCTTTCCTCAATCGCTGAACTTTTTCAGTTCTTTTCCGCATCCTTGTTCCATTATCACGACGAAAAACGTTTTGAAATAGGGTTAGGGCGAGGCTGTTATACTTTATTCGTTGATAATGGTGGATCAGTACAGTCCGCTGCAGTCCATCTGCTACCAACGCGGTTCGCTTCGCCTTCTCGATCAGGTAGGTATTCTTGGTTTCCCTTTCTATGCATTTCGAATTTCTGTGCCTGTTCGAGGCCTTTTTTATTGCTTCTCTGATTTGGCTTGGCTCTAAGCAGAGAAAACTCCCGCTGGAAACAGTTTATTTGGATATCCTTAATGCCTCTGATGGATGGTGAGTTGAGTTGCCCTTCCAATTTTTCGAATATCTGATTTGATTAAGTTATTGCTGTTAGAGGAACTTGTTTTGTAACACTGTTCGTCATCTGAAACAAGTTTTGCTTTTACATTACTGCAAGCTGCTAGTTTGGTTCATAGGATAATTTGATCTGATCAAACTTAAGGCCTATTTGGTTGAAGGTAGGATTTGTAAATATAGATTTGATAAATCCCATTCAATTAGGATTTAAATTTTTTTGAATATTTGGACTATTTGTTTGGCTACAAGTACGATTTAATTAAGCAGGACTTACTAAATCCTGTAAATCAGATTTAGTAAATATTGTGAGGATTAAAACTTGAAATTTTTTTGACATGCAACTGTTAAATCTTAATAAATCATGATAAACGGTTTCGCTATTATTTATATTTTAATTTTTTTTAATGGTTTCTCTATTTATGATACAACAACAACATCATCAAACATTTATCCCATGACGTGGGGTTGGCTACGTAAAATTTTTTCCTCTATTGTGTCATGGTAAGAGTCAGATTCTCATTTACATCTAATAAAAAAAATCATTTTTAATACTTTCTAACCAAGTTTTTCTAGGTCTACCTCTACCTTTCTTGATATAGGCCAAATTCCTGACCGGGTCATTGGAAGGCCGACATTTTATGAAATCATCTAAGGCAACTCTCTCTAATCTTATATGCTGCTGGAGCTACTCCAATCTTTTTACGTGTGTACTCGTTTTGCAGTCTGTCTCTAAAAGTCAAGCCACTCATCCACCTGAGCATTCTGATCTTTGCAACATTTAACATAATTTTATTCTTCTTTTTTAATTGCCAACATTCTGTGCCATAAAGCATTGCAGATCTCACCACCATCTTATAAAATTTCCCTTAAGTTTGAGAGGTACTTTTTTGTCATACAATAGGCACGATGCATTCCTCTACTTCAACCATCTAACTTGAATTCTACTAATAATATCTTCATTTATTTCACCATCACTGTGATTAATAGAACCGAGATATCTAAAATGTGTACTCTTTTTTTTTGACTTGATCTTCCAAATTCACAATCCCATAACTCGATCTATTACTACTAAAATTAAACTCCATGTATTGGTTTTTGATCTACTCAAACAAAAACCTTTACACTCTAAGATTGACCTCCATAATTCAAGTTTTCCTTCAACTCCCTTTCTAGTCTTATTAACAAGAAGAATATCATTAGTAAAAAGCATACACCAAGGTACCAAAAATATAAAACTCTGAAAAATCACAAAAAAAAAGAAATGAGATAACTAGATAATTTTGAACTGGCCTAAAACTCCTGGTAGTTGAGGGAAAAGGTTTTTGAAAATTTGAGGATGTCTACAAGTCCAAGATATTGAGGGAGAAGAGAAGTAGCCATCAAAACTAATTTCATTTGTTGTTTGTATACCCTAATTTTTTCATAATATTGAGTATTTATAGGCTACAAAAGCACCTAATAACGAATTAAATAACCTAATAAGTCCAATACCTTTAAGCTAACACGAATCAATAATTGCCCATTAAAGATACCCTTACATTTATGCCTAACATTTACCATTTGATATAAATAAAACACATAAAACAATAAAAAATAATGAAAACATCAAGAGATGAGATATTTAGGCAACTTCAAACTTACAAATTTAGGCAGTTGAGGGAGAAAGTTCTAGACAATTTAATGATTCTTACAGCTGCAAGATTGAGGGAGAAGAAGGGAAGCACTCATCAAGGCTAATTTTATTCATATGTTGCATTCCCTAATTTTTTTTGCAATAGGAGTAATTTTATGCTACAAAGAATGTAATAACCTATTAAAAATGTAATGATCTAATATCTATAAGCTAACATGACTACCTATTTGCCTATTTACCAAAACACATAAACCATTGAAAATTACTCAAAACATCAAGAAATGAGATAACTAGGTAACTTTGAGCTTTGTAAAACTCCAGGTGGTTGAGGGAAAAGATTTTAGGCAATTTGAGAATGCCTACAACTTCAAGAGAAAGAGAATGAAAGATAAGGAGAGCAGCTTTCAAGGTTAATTTCATTCATTGTTTGCTTGCCCTAATTTTTTTCACAAGATGAGTATTTATAGGCTACAAAAGAAGCTAATAACCTATTATTTTCCTAATTTATGATAAACTATTTGTCTATTTGTTTCAAAATTTAAAATTTTTGAGAGGGAAATCCTTGAATCTGATAAATCCTGTAAATGACGGGGTTTACTAAATCTTAGATATAAACAAGAATGGGCTTGAAACGAGATTTATCAAAACAGTAGGATTTTAAGTTTGAAAATTTTGTTTCACAGGATTTAAGCTAAATCTTGCTTCAATCTTGCCTAAAATAAGATTCCAAATAATCTTAATCTCATGAGGATTTAATATATACTAGATTCCAGCCCGGATTTAACAAAGCCTAATAAATTCAAGATTTACTTTTGGTAGGATTTCAAAGCTCGTTATAACGTGTTTGGGGAGATTTAGACTAAATTCAGATTAAATCCTACATTAGATTTGCAGCCAAACAGTCTCACAAGCTAGAAATGCTTGGATGAATTAATTAATTGCAGCTGTGTTTAATTTAATCTTGTGGGATATCCTGAAACAATTTCCTTACGAATGATAATACTTTTGTTTTTGACAGAATTGTATAAGACAAGCATCTCTGTTATGTCGAATTACAAATTTTGCTTAGCCAAATTATGTGATTTTTTGCATCTGTTGTGTCATTGCGTACTCATTCTCCATGTTATTCAATTGAGAATACATCAATGTTTTTTTTTTTGTTTGGGTGCATTTCATATTGTGCTTATGTGCTGTATTTTGCTAGTGGCGCGAGTCATATAAAGCTGTGTAAGAGATCCACGGCTAAGATATGCTCACTACTGTTGACTGTTTATTGAGTTGGCAATCATGTGCCTTTTTAAAGGAAAATACATCTCATACTTACGTGCTGTCCAATTTTAATTGTTTGCCTTGCAGCAATACAAATATTTTCTTCTTAGTAGTCTTTTAAATTTTTCTAAAGCTTGTACTTCTTGAGGTTCTAACAATGATCCTGTTGGAGTTTGCCCACCCCTTGTTTCATCTTCAAAATTATTTTAAGGGGCAAATGATCTGCAGGATGCCGCTGCAAAACTAAGAATCCCTTAACGAATTTTTAATTTTTTGCCTTTCATGTGGCCTTACTGAAATTATAAGGGAGAAAAAACATAGTAGAATCCTATGAATGAGGTTCTGGTAATGCTATGAATGATAGAATCGGGCAACTGTATACTCGGGGTGGTAGGAAAACAGCAAGTCAGCAAGTAATGGCTAGTCTTTCAGATGCAGCCTGCAGTACTAGGGTTTGGAAACCTGTTAACATTCTTAGACTCTAACTATGTTATACTTATTAATATTAACATTAGATATCGAAATTGTGGCTTTACTTCTAACACAATTTGATTTATATTCGAATTTCTGAACTTCTAACACAATTTGATGCACTTAACCATCTTGTGGGCTGAAAACTTTGCATTGCATTATTCTTATTTGCTACGATGCTTGTTATCTATAGCTTGAATGGATGCATCATTTGCCTTTTTTTTTCCTTTTTCATGATGTGTATTTTCTGGTCTCATGGTTGTACTCTTCTTTGCTTGAACTGTATTCTTAGTCTTCACTACTAAAATACTGGTTATTTTCTCAAAGGAAGTTGAAATTCACCTTCAATCTCTATCAAATATTCATTCATATTTTTTTTGGTTCATTTAATAAGTTTTTCTTTATTATATTTTGGAAAATATTGGTGCACATATCCTTCTCCTTGTGATTTTTATTGCTCTTGAAATGTCCACGTAGTTGCATATCTTGTTTGAATGCCATTTTGATGCATTTGCTCCTATTATGGGATGCCTTTCACAAAATGGAAATGTTTTAGAATCAAAACTTTCTATATTCCAATTGTTTCATTACTTTGGATAGCTTGCTACTTTTAATGTTTACTTTCTTGGAACGATTCTTCTGTCAGAGTTTAATAGAATGTTCTCTGTGTTTCTCTTCAGGAATGCGATCAGAGACATGGTAGTTCGTGGTGCTCCTGCAATTGCAATATCAGCAGCTTTATCTCTAGCTGTTGAAATTTTTAACCTTGACTTTAGCGGGACTTCTTTGGATGCAGCTTCCTTCCTTGTCAAGAAATTGGAATACCTTGTTTCCAGGTCATATTAGATTGGAACTTTGATTAAAACTATAAGTTTCTTAAAACTTAAAGTTTCCCATCATTTGCAGCCGACCCACTGCTGTAAATCTTTCAGATGCAGCTACAAAACTTCAAAACCTTGTGTTAAAAACTGCTGAGACTGCTGCTGATGCAAAATTTGTCATTCAGGTGTGTAATATAACTACTGAGCCAGGAACAGAAAAATCTTTCTTTTGATGTTTTTTATATCATAGCTGATTCAATACTTACGTGTTTACTCAGAGAAATGAGATGGCAGTACTAAGCCCTTTCTTCCTTTGCTGCCTTTTATATTTAACGTTTTTCATCAGCATCATGAGCCTTTTTCATCATGTTTCGGAGTTTTTACTGGAGCTTTGTTATTGTTTTAGAACTGGCTAACAATCTTAATTGATTGCAGATTCAAACTTCTATGTTTTATGTTGTCAGTGGGCTAACCTTTTTGACGCCTTTCTTGTATTATCAGACATATATTGATGCCGCAGAAAATATGCTCACTGATGATGTCAATACTAACAAAGCCATCGGCTTTCATGGAGCAAATGATATACAATCAAATCTGAATGATTCCAAGAGAATATCTATTTTGACACATTGTAACACGGGCAGGTTCATCTCTCTTAATTTTCAATTGTCTCCTGTTGGATGGAAAACAATCCTTTTCTTCCATCTACACGTTTACCCCAGATCCACAATGCCTATTCTGACTTTACAAACAACAAGTATGTATTATTCCTCAATATGCTATCTTGTACAGCCTTGCCACTGCTGGGTATGGTACAGCACTTGGAGTTATCCGTGCCCTTCATGCTAATGGAACTCTAGAGACAGCATTCTGTACTGAAACACGGCCTTTTAACCAGGTAAACTTAACATCTTGACTCTTCATTATGTCTTTTATGGTTTTTGAGTTGTTTTTCTGACCATTTTTAATGTCTTTATACATTTTAGCTACCACCTAATTTGCCTCGATGTTCCTGATCCACCTTAACGTTTTCCCTAATGATACTCATTTAAACAAAATAGTTTAATACAACCTTGGAATTTTACAGAACAGGTTGTTTTGCTGCCTTGCAGGGATCTAGACTCACAGCGTTTGAACTAGTTCATGATAAGATCCCAGCAACATTGATAGCGGATTCAGCGGCAGCTTCATTGATGAAAGCCGGGCGGGTTGGTGCTGTTATAGTTGGGGCTGATCGCATTGCTGCAAATGGTAGTCTATTGAAAACCAGAACAAAACGAAATCAAAATTGTCAGATTTCTTAATGATGTGAAATTTATCTTGTAGGTGATACTGCGAACAAAATCGGAACATACAGCCTGGCTCTTTGTGCATTACACCATGGGTTGCCATTTTATGTGGCAGCTCCAGTAACTTCCATAGACCTCTCACTTTCATCTGGAGACCAAATTCTTATAGAGGAGAGATCACCAAAGGAGTTGCTGTGTTCTGATGGAGGACTTGGGAAGCAAGTGGCTGCCTCAGGGATTGGTGTCTGGAATCCTGCATTTGATGTTACTCCGGCTAACCTGATTACTGCTATAATAACTGAAAAGGTCCCTCCTCCCCCCCACAATCTGATTAAATCTTAGGTTTGTTGATTTTATTTTATTCATGATTGATTTGCATAGATACCCCTGAATTCTTATTTATTTATATATCTAACACCTAAATTTTACATTTATTTATCATCCTAATGCCTAAATCATATAAAAGATACTACTATCATTAACCTATCTAAATTAAAACATACTTTTGCTTGCATATATTTGATGTGATTTAAACACTATGATGTTATATAAATAAATTTAAAATTTGAATATTTGAAATTTAAATGCATCAGGTGGTATGTATGTAAATCCCCAATTCTTCTGGTCATTCATTTTATTTTTGTTTTTTTACTTTGCTGAGTAGGGTGTCATCAGAAAGGTTTTGGCTGATGATTTTAATATCAAAGGTTTTATACAAAATGCAGCAAATGGGAAAAAAGAGTAGAGCTCCACCATCATGTAGGTTTCTGTTATATTTGCATCTTAAGCTCTATGCAACTCTCAACATAAATAAATGTAATTAGGATGATTTTGTGGCTTGCATGACCTTTTCCATTTTATATTTACTCAGAGTATGCCTCCTTGTGAAGTTTGTGTCCTATTGCTTTGCAATCTTACATTTTGTATCATCAAACGAATGGCATTGCAGCAAATATTTATTACAAAATAGCTTATTATGATTTCGACCGTTACGTAGAAATGATGAAAAACATTCAGTACACCGTTCTATTTTAACGTATGGATTTAACTTTTTTTTTTTCCAAGCAGATGTCAGATTTGTAAATTCTTATAATTTCAGTGGTATGTAATTCTCCCAAAAAAGAAAATTTACATGCATTTGACATGTCCTCATGTATTTGTTTTATGAAGCTGATGGTGCAAAACATATGATAGTCAGTTTAATTCCCTCATTTTGAAGTCATGGCTAAACAAAAAAATAATAACTGAATCAAGGGGAAGTACGGTAGACAAGCTTGTTTGAACGGTTGGTTCAGACTGAAAAGAATTAATTTTCTTCTTTTTGAATAAATGGAAATTGTAAATAGAATGGCTATCAGCCTTGCTGTTGGCCACTCCTTAACCAAAGAGGATATCTTCCCTGGCTCCCCAACGCGGTGTCCTGTTTTTCAGTATTATATATTAGATTGTTATTAGATAATCATTGGATCATTTTCTTAGGAATCTATAAATATACCCCCTTTTGAGAGATTAGGGCATCAAGCAAACATGTATAAACAATGGATCATTTGAATGGCTTAGGTTTCGTTTGGGACGGCTTTCTTACTGCTTCGTAAAGCAGTTTTTTAGTACAAAATTTTTATTTTTTGTGCTAAGCCGTCCCAAACAAAGCCTTAGTCTTTCCCCAAAAATACTTTTAGTTGCGAGCATCTTACAAATGACCATATCCTTTTCTTCCATCTCTACTGGGAGTTTAGACAAGCTATAAATTGTATAATTATCAATATATTTACTGTTTTCCCTTCATTTTCTCAGTTTTATATGTTTGGGTTTGCAACAATGGTGCTCTCATTGAGCTTTGGTGGCTGTCATCAGATCTACTTCAGCCCAGATTTTGTGGTAGAGTCATGGTCATGCTTTTGATCCATCCACCGAATATAGGATTCCTGGCCTATCTCTTTCCTTCATGACTCCCAGATCTTCGCACATATTGCCCTAATCCGGTGATCCCTACTCATAGCGTTGTCCACTTCCAAATTCCATCGGATTTTCAGCCGCCGAACCCTATTGCTCTTGTCTAGATATGTGCCTTCCCACATCTCCATCCTCCATTTCATCTCCGTCAATCAATTTCGGATCTCACACCTATGCAGCTGATCCTCTCAATCCTATCTTGAGGGCAAGGTTGGTATGAAGGGGTGGGTAATGTTATTGAATAAATAAATATAATAAGTTAATTAGCAGATATTAGATTGCTATTATATAATTAGAAGTTTATTAGGTTTCCTGGGAGTTTATACACTCCCTCTTTGGGAACTCTGGCATCAAGCAAACATATAAAAGCAATAAAGCCTTTGGGTCACTTTAATGTAGGGTTTAAATGATCTTTATGATGAAGGTAATAACTTGATTGGTGTCCCCATAAGGTGGTGGTGAAAGATTTATTTGAGTGGTGGTACAATGGGTATTCATGATTTGGACATATTTGATGCTGAAACTTCTTGGCTATCATGTTGGGGAAGATGAGTAAACACCACAATGACGAAACAAACAAGAAAGTAAACGTAGCAGAAAAGTAAAGGACTCTAGAATTTTAGCAAAAAAAAGTAAATACATGCATTTACTTTATACTCAACCAAACAACTTCAAAATATTTTAGCAAAAAAAAAGTAAATACATGCATTTACTTTATACTCAACCAAACAACTTCAAAATATTTTAAATATATTGCATTCCCAACGACGTCTAGTTTATTTGGAGAATCAACAAGCACTCAACCAAACTAGTACAAAAATAACAAAAATAAATCAATCGGTTGAATGCTTGTTGTTTAATAGGCTTTGAATATGTCCTTAATTGAGTATGCTTAGCTTGATAAACATTCTTATTTTCTGATCCACTTTTTTAAATATTTAGGAAACTCTTGCTTTGAATTCGTACCAGCATTAGATGCAAATGTGTTCCCTTGACTTCGTAGCTTGGACTTGGATGAGTGCCTTTCCCTTTTGTAGTACGAAGGCTATCGGAATACTTCCCCATATTAAGCCCTGACCTCCATACATTATTATTTTGTCTATGAAACTAGTTTGGGTTTGGAAAATAATGCGGACCATCCTTCAATAGAGTTCAAATTCATGTGATTCCCTACAAAGGCAACGGCATGATGCCCTCTGCCTACATTCTTCTCGCACAAAATTATGAGGATTAGAATGAATACTAAGATGATGAAAGCATGAGTCGGTGGAAGAACGACGATGGGTGCTTCTTTTCATTGGAGTCTCAGGCTCATTAAGACAATCAATCAGCCAAGAAAATAGTTCCTCAATTGAAATGGCCTCAAGAAAGGGAATTTTTATTAGGTCCGGTGTCCTGACGTAGTTGTACATTCAGACGCCATAAAATGGTGCCACGTGCTCTTACTATTTACTGCGAGGCCCGACAACCCGACCCGGACTGGATCCAGGGTTGCTATGCATTGGCTGATTTGTGCAAATTGGGGTATTGCTAGGTATTGCTTGATATTGTTCGGCAATAACGAGAAGTATCATTATGTGAAGAGCAATACCTAGTAATACGGAGCAATACCGAGCGATATCCCGGTTTTGCTAGGTATTGCTCGGTGTTGGTCTTCACAAAGCAGTATCTCTCGTTATTGTCAAACAATACCTAGCAATACCGAGCAATAACTAGCAATACGTGAGCATAGCAACCCCGGGTTTCGGTCCAGGTCGGGTCGTCGGGCCGCGCGGTAAAAAGTAAGAGCACGTGGCGACATGTTATTGACGTCCAAACATAAAGCTATGTCAGGACACCAGACCTAATAAAAATTCCAAGAAAGGTAGGCTAATCTTGTGTAAACCCCTTTCTCAACCATGGCTCCTCTTTTGATCCGAATGGACTATAATTCCCATATGCAGGAGTTGCAATGCTTGGAGAGATGGTTTTGGTCGGAGTAAAGGTTGATTCTTAAGGTTCCTAAAGCTAGCCACCCAGTCATGTACCACAACCTAAGTAGATTGCAAACAAATTACATAAATTTGAGAATTATTGAAAAGAAGCCAAATCAAAATGCATAAAATCTCAAGAGAATGCTTACATATAATCAAAATCACTAATCAATAAAAAAAGTTACTTTGATGATGCTAGCTTGTAAGGGGGAAACAAATAGCATCAAGTGATCAAGATCAAGAAGTTGAGGAATTGTCCAAGAGGGCAAGCCTCTAATGCACCAATCTTTTATTTTTATAAGATAGCAAACATATATATTTGATGAATTATGAGTATGGTGAGACATATAAAGTTAAATTTTTATAAAATTATCATTTAATAAATTAATTTTAAGTCACGTGACAAATTCTATTAAAATATATAATAATAGTAATTTTATTTATTTAATGAAAATAATTTTCTTTTTTATTAGAAATATTTAATATCATATATGGATCTATCTTTATATTCATTTAATTATTTTCTATAAGACAAATGTGTTAATACAATTTTAATAAAATAAAAGTTTACAATTTTATAATATTAAGATCAAAATTATAAATAAAATAAAAATAGATATTCTTCAAAATATTTAACCAATCATCTTAATTGAAGAGAAATTTAGCCCTTAATTCTTATCAGCCCCCAACCTAAGGTGTCATTTGAACCTCCTCTTTTGAACACAATCGAGCCAGCCAATCAACTCATGTTGGTTGGACCACCCAATTAAGCACATAGTCAAAACTAGATTATATCATATCATTGTATGATATTGGAGGCTTTTTCCTTACTACATTGCTCTTTTATTTCCCTCTCCAACTGGATCTTCGACTCTCTTGCTCCTCCCCGACCTACTAGGTTTCAAACATTAGAGGCTTCTCCTCTTTGACAATTCCTTGGCATTTTGATCTCGACCACGGCAATGCCATCATGAGGTCCGGACACCGGAGAGTCAGAATCATCCGGATTTCTCTCTGTCTACAGTCAAAACGCAGTCGAAGCATAGCTGCTACATTAACTGCACTTTGACTATGTTTTTACTGTAGACAGAGAGAAATGTGGATGATTTCTCTCTGTCTGGTGTCCAAACTTAATAATTTCTCCCTCCCCCATCAGAGCATTTCAATCGAGGAGCATTTTTCTCGGTTGATTGATATACTTGATGAGCCTAATTCTCCAGTGAAAAATATGTGCTCATTGTCATTCTTCCAATGACTTATACTTGCATCACCCTCGACTTCATTCTAATCCTCATAATTTTGCCCAGGAGGAATGTAGGGAACACGAGGCATTTGAGTCTAATACTGTTAAGAATCCTGAACAAGAGGCGTCTCCTGAAGGAACAATTATTACGTCCTCCGACCGGACGTAGAGGAACATCCGGTCGGAGGCAAATTCCCGCCAAATACCGAGATGTACCGAGCAAATACCGAGCAATGTCAAACAATAACGAAGAATACCATCATTTGAAGACCCAATACCGAGTTATATCGGGCTTTACAGAGCAAATACCGAGTTATACAAAAGCTGTACCGAGTTTTTTTCAAAAAAACTCGGTACAACTCGGTATTTCTCGGTACAGCTCGGTATAACTCGGTATTGGTCTTCAGAGAACGGTATTCTTCATTATTATCAAATAATACCTAGTTGTATCGAGCAAATACCTAGTTTTTGGACGGAAAATTGCCTCCAACCGGACGTTCCTCTACGCCCTTGCACCGAACGTAATAAAAGTTCCTCCTGAAGAATTAAAAAAGTGGATCATAAAACAAGAATGTTTCTCAGACTAAGCATAATCAACAACATACATAATCACTCTATTTAGTACTTTTCATATCACAATAACTATTTTGATTTGATCACTCTATTTAGTACTTTTCAATGTTTTTATAGTGACTTTAAAAGAGATGTTTTCTCCGCAACAATTTTATAATCAATTTTATAAAAAGCTACAGCCATTCCAATATGACCCTTAGTGTGGGGATTATTTTGCATTGTTATTTAAAATTTTAAA